AATTTACCGTTTTACCCTTTAAAAATTAATCAACATTTGGTTAGACCATTGACTTTTAGTCAACTAACAGAGGAACTAACGGAAACCATCTATTTGGACTTCAAGTGAGAATTTTTAAAAGATTTGGTACCGTGGCTGCAATTCTCCCTATTTTTTATGTTTTCTTTAATTATTTTATTGGTTCATGTTGGAAGACACATCTCAGGTAAAATGTCTCTGTTGAACCTTTTTAAACATTGTAAATGAGTATATAGATTTGATTCTTTCTTAAGTGATTCTTCTGGTTATTTTTTATTCAAAAGCTTCTCATGCTCTATATTTACAGGGTACTGTGATCTAATTCGTTTTATTTCTTCACTGTAAATTATATAAGTATATAATATTTAACGTGTGTCTAGGTGCGCTATTACACCAAAAAATTGATGTCAGTGATGTGAGTCCCCTTTTAATTTTTTAAAGCAATGTCAAGCAGTACGTGACAACTGACAAAATCAAATTCAAATCATTTTTTGGATTTTAGTCACAATGTCTATTTTGCCCTCTAGTGGTGGAGAAAGGGTTGGTTTGAAGAATTAATTTGGAGGAGCATTTTGGTAATTTGGCTACGCTTGTGGAGGGTACAATTGACACAATGACACATTGGATGAAAAGAATACATACCCTACTTTCCCTACTTCAACGTCCACTTTGTAGGCTCTATTTTTATATTTCAAATTTCATCTATCAAAAGTTGATAGATATCTCCAAAAAAGCTACACCAAATGAAGGCTCACAACATAAAGCTTTTCAACCTCGACCAACTCCAGATATAAGAAAAATTCCTTTTAACAATATTAAACATTAATTAGAAGAATATTACTTTTCTATAATTACTAATTAATATAATACTAAAATAATTTTCTGGGAATCACATATTTTTTATTTTGTGCGAGAAGATCTCTGACTGAGGATTTTGGCAAGCTAGTTACCCACTCTCTCATATATCCCTGTACATTGGTTCTTACATATGTTACTTGAATTTGCTTATAAAATCCATTCACATCAACACACCAATAGAACTAAACAAACAGAAATTATAAAATGCACTGTAACATGAAGGGATGAAGTACCTGGATCAGAAGCATTACAATTGCAAAAAGAACCTTCACAGCCTCAGTCAAAAAGTTAACGCTAATAGGGCTAAACTTGAATTTTCCATCCACCTTTGACATAAAAACCAAGATAGGCTGGAAAAGAAAGAGATTGATCAAGTAGGGCTTTGCAATCATAATTAGGACACGGGGTATTTAATGTCAATAACACTGCATGACACCTAGCAAATTTGAATAATGCTATTTATCATTATGATGATAGAACATCGGTGATGTGGCAATTTACGTGAAATAATAGGATTTGACAATTTAATTTTCATGAGGGAGAGAGGGAGGAGTTAGAGAGAAATGTGAGGGATAATGGATTGCCACCTTACCGATAATCCATCATCATGATAAAAAATAGCGTTACTTAGCAAATTTACAATCAGAAATGATGGTGGTTGCAGTTCATGGACATGTTGCTTAAAAGGAGAAGGGAAATATAATGTGCGCGCGCATGTAAGTACCTTTATATAAGGGAGAGACAAAATAAAAGATTCGAGTAATCAAGTACTACATTTCTCATAATTCCATTTTCCGAATCAGAAGAAATAGCCATACGAGTACATTCACAGATACGTTACACATGATGAAAAATCTCCCGTAAGTTTAGTGTGCTTTTTCTTCTTATTTACTAAAGTAACAGTCAGAACCCAATTGTTGAAACCGGGTGGAGTGTAAGTGAAAGAAAAAAAATTTGGTAGTTAAATGGCCTACAGGTATCGTTAAAGTAAAGAGTTAGATGGGGCAAAAATTGCAAGACCGAGAACACAATAGTAGCACATGCTTCTCTGCTGTAAATGAATCCGATACCAAGTGGCTAACATCACCAGTAATCACTAAGCCTTTTATAAGAAATTTATATCATCAATATTGAATCATGAATAGTCTTATTACACAGTTTCTTGCTGCATAGCCATCTGACAATCAGTGTTTTATAATCAAAATTAGAGAGCCAAGTTTGACTGAAGCATGGACCTAGGGCACTTTCACTATTTAAATTCCTTTATCTTCCAATGTTCGACCCAATAATAAGTTCTCTACATGGATCCACTTCTTCTTACCACACGCATAATAAAATCAAGACTAAAAGTATCCAGAACTTTCTTCACATTTCGATATTAAGAGCTAGGATTGAATCAAAAATTCGTGAACAACTAACATTCTCAAATACGGAAGTATAGAATAAGGTGAAAAACATAGTACAACAACATAATAAGACAATTACCTGTAAACCAACCAGGACACAGTCTCCCCCAACTAACAGGAAATTGAGAGCCCTTTGCTTTGATGATACCTTGTCCCTGTGACGATCATAAGCCCTTGAAACAGATTTCGTGGATGGAGAGACCAGCTTGGAATGACAGACACTGCACTCTATCATTCCGTTCTTCATCAGTTTAGAACCCCCGATAGTTACTCAGGCTATGCAAAATTTAACCTGTGCAAGCAAAAACAGAAACGGAATGAAGAACCCAGGTAATAGCATTTTCCATAACCAACCATTAGTAGATCATTTTTTCAAACAAACTCCAGAAAACAATATGACTCATGAGTTGATACAAAAATATCACGTGAACTTTGATGTTCTCAACAACCGGATAAATATAGCAACATTCTTAAAAGAAACTAATTCACAAATACAGTAATGGAAATACCTATTTTGAATCGATTACAGTTCAACAGACTAAAATGCATTACAACCACATCTTATCAGAACAACAAATTCTAAAATTCTTCCACGCTATATTTTCCTGATCAAGTATTGAAACGATCAAAGCAAAATCTGATTGCAAAAGGAATAAATTTATACACTACAGATCTATCGAAATTGGGGTCTCTTGCCGAGATTCATGATAAAGAATGTGCACACATTTAAACAAGTAAAGAGCTGACCTGTGAAATTGACTGTACGGATAGGTTGATAAACGTCGGCTGCCGACGTAGAATATTCCGTCCAGATCCAAATCAAACTCCGGTGAGTCGGTGACGGGAATTGAAGTACTTGGAAATTAGAAACGAACTGAGTTTCTATATTCTGAGATGCGGAATTTATATATATATAGGAAGAGAGTAATGTTACGTGAAATTGAATTGGTGTTGGGTGAGTACCTAATAGCTTATAAATTATTCAATTAATATTTAAATTAATTGTCGATAAATAGTATTCAAAAGTGATATATGTCAATTGACTAGTGAATTATAAATTGAATTTTTAATGTGTGAAATTAATTTGGTAATTTCCCTTTTAAAACTAATTTAGTTTTGCCCCCCCGAGACATAGCTCAGTGGTGCAAATGTCAGGAATGAAATAGTCTCAGTTGAACTGGCAGCTGCAGTGAGAATGTTCGATTCTTGCCTCTTACAAGATATAAAATTGGACTTTTTGTGAGTACCAGTATGTCAGCTCTTATACCTTAACCTGTTGAGGCGTATCTCGCGATTTACCTCTTCCACAATGCTCTAAAGACGAGACGGTGAGAGACCCGCAAGGTTGGGGTTCAATCTTTTGTTATTTACTACTTACCTAGAATATTGTTGTTCATAGATATTAACATTATTTAAGTAAAATATCACTATCATTTTTTTTTTTTTGACTTAAAATAAGTGATATTTATCTATCGTTGACTTAACTAAAATAGTATCTCTTAATAAATTGTACATAGATGGATAATTTTAATTTTTTTCTGAAAGTATAGAGCGATGTAGTTATAATTATTTATGGTTAATAAAATTTATATATAAATTAATTAATATATATGCCTAAATTGTCCAATTTTTTAATAGAGTTAGGTTTGGGAAGGACACTGTAGTCAACTCTTAAATGAGAAATTAATTAATATTTAATGGAAGAATATTCAAGGCTTATTTGGTCTCCATTATTTCACATCATAATGAGAGAAATATTAATTTTTTGGAGAATGTGATTAAAAATGAAGTAAAAATTTTTGAGTTTACGTGTAAAATTATTTTATTGGAGTGTGTGATTGATAGAAAAGAGAAAAATAAATTATAATTTAATGAAAAATAATGTGGGAGAAACTGGGGATCAAATGCCTTGCATCAGTGGAAATCGTTCTATCCTATCAACCGTGGGCATATTTTTTCGAAACCATTCAAATCAGATCTTTTTTGTTTGGTTTACCTGTATAAAATTAACAAGTTTGACTATTAAAAGTTGTTACGGGTTAGTAGATGTAAGCGATACGTGGCATCACATTTTGCCGGTGGGACCAGCTTGAATAAATCAGGACATGTTTTCCTAGCATCAGACGTAGGTTCCGAGGCCCTCACTATTGTTCC